GCTCCCTCGCCCTCGCCCTCGCCCCCCCCGGCTCCGCACGCCGTCTCTCCCTCTCGCACACACACAGGCGCGCACGCTTTCTCTCGCTCTCCCTTTACCCGGAGGTGCACTGATGATAGCCGTTTAATGAGGGGGGGGAAGTTAAGAGATTAAACCAATATGAACCATCGTTGCTCGTAGCGGTGCCCTATCCAGAGCAGAGCAGAATCCGGCGAGCACCCCTGCAGGAATGGAGTCGGTAAAACAAAGGATTTTGACCCCTGGCAAGGAGGGATTGAAGAATTTTGCTGGAAAATCTCTTGGTCAACTCTACAGGTAAGACTGACATCTCTTATAGGACTCTACTACCTAGAAATATTTGGAAGCTTTTCTTAACCGCCAGCTGCTGAAGGAGGTCGAATGCTTTGGGGAGGCTAGTGGTGGAGGGGCTGGAAGAGTTTGAGATACTGCTGATATAATCTGGATACTGGAAACTAGTGCTGAAGCTTCTCAATATGGCACCCTCGTAACTTCTCTATCGGATTCGTAGATGGTGTCAGTAAATATGTAGCGAAAGATCACCCCGTCTTTCTCCCACAAAACCCAGGATCCCATCTTGAAATGATAATCAGGAAAGAGCAGCTGTATTTTTGTTCTGTGTTAATTTTGCAATACAGCCACAGGATCTTTCCCCCTGCCCTTACCAGTCATTAAAAAATAATAATAATAATCTTTCCTGGTTTCGATTAGTCTTGTCCCTTGTGTAATTCGTCGTCAGAGGAAGATAAACATGGAGATGTATAAATAATTGATATCCGAACGATTTTTTTTTTTTCTCCTGAAGCTGAAACATATAGAGGGATGTGTTTAATTATTTATCCGTCTGCCTTGAGAACCATCTACTTGTCTTATAAGTAATACACAACTGCAATTGCTAAACTCAAAAGCATCACTCAACAGTATGTTTCTGTGTGTACATAAGATTTCTATCATCTTCAAGCCCTGTACACACAGATAAACAAGGCAAAATTCTCGCATACCTAAAAAGTGTATGCGCTAAAGTTGACAGACACATCGTGCTCCATCCAGTCTGGCGAGTTTAGTGACCTCCAGGACGTTTGAGAATAGCCTGTGAAATTCCAATGTATTTTCGATATTTTATCCTCTGCCAGAAATTACCCCGAAGGGTTTTTTTTTCCGAATTACAGACGAAAGGTAACTGCGGATTTATCTGCCTAGGGCAGGTCACGTAAAAGTCTTTTTTTCCATACCTATGCGGCAGTGTTGGGCACAGGCACAAGGCTGTTCCACAGCATGAGTCACAACTTCTGCTGCCATTTTCAGGAAAGGGGCCATATCAGTGAAGTGATAAAGACAAAATTAAGATTTCCATTTTAGTAGGAAGGGTACAATTTTGAAAAGCCATAAGCGAAACCAAAGACATCAACAACGCCGTGAATATCGTACAGGTTTTGGTCGTATTTAAGTCATTTTCAATGGTCAGAAAAAGAAATAGAAATATTCATAATCCAGAATAACTGCTTAAAATATAATTAAGGAAATAAACCTCCTTTTCGCCCTAAAAGGCTCTACAACATATAAATAAACCGATCATGTCTACTGCTTTTTATATAGTCACACAATAAATAATGGAGAAACGGTGTTTGTATTTGCCAGTGAAACTCCGTTTGAACTCCCCCCTTGGTTAACAAATGCGCGATTTACTCATCTTCTCTAACGCACGGGACTGAGCTATTTTGTTTCCGATTCTTAGAATTAAAATAGTTTTCCTGTCCCTTACACACTGATTGCTAGTGTCTTCCCGAAGACAAGGAGCCCATCCAGAAGACACTTCTACATAATCCTTTATCCGCATGAACGAATTTTGAACACAAACCCACGGGGTTTTATTTTATTCAAAACTTTAAGACATTTCTTAATGCTGCGGTCTTTAAGCATGGAAATCATTCTCCCAGCAAAGAAAAATCGGGAGGATTTCACCTGAGTAATCATTAGAGAAAATCCCTGTATTTTCTCCAAAACACGGAGAACCTTTTGAGCCCGATTCTGCTAATTGTTACTGCCTCATTAGCCGGATGAGTTAACTTCAAAGAGATGCTCCTCTGAGGAGAATTTCTGACGTGAGAAAACACTCCCAGAGCAGGGGTGAGGGCAGCGGTAGGAGAGTCCAGGGTGTCGGGAAATGGTCATCCTCAAGACGATGGAAGCGGTTAGTTTTTCTGTCTTTTAAATATCTCAGTGACTACAAAAGAAGATTAAGAGATTCAGCATGGGACACTTATTCGGTAAACCTGATATTTCTTACTACCGAATGATATTTTTAAATCTTTTCCAGCAAAGAAGAAATAAACCGAAATGTTCTGAATCACTTTTCGTGGATAGCGGGGGATTTTTTTTCCCCGGTATTTTTCTGTTGATTCGAAATAACTGCAAATAACAATTCCCCTTCAGATTCCTGCACATTGTTTCCTAGGAGATAGGATTCTCATGTAAAACAAGGGACTGGGGGCAATGAGATCGAGCTTAAAGCCGATCTGGGGAGGCTAAACCTGCGAAGCGATCTCACTTTCGCACCGCGTAGCTGAGCAGATGGGATCTTTTGGAAAGACTTCTCCGGAGCTCCCAGTTCTCGAAAGACAGTCATGTTTTCTTCCACTGCATGTGACAGCCATTTTGCAAATCTAAAGTAGCAATATCGCTCCCCCCCCTCCCCCCTTTCTGTTACCATGTCTTTTGTTCCCAGACCTGAGGCGAGATGCACATCAAGATGACCCCCCCTTGGTGTTTCTAATAGAGCAAGGAGGCAATAAAACCTTCTCCAAAAGACTGTTTCGGTTTCCATACTATGCCTCTTGGGTTACCCAACATGGCGCCTCTGCAGTGGTTACAGATGATGTCTTCTTAATGCGTCCTACATATTTAAGCAGAAGTCTTTAATGATAGATGAGCAATTCTCAGCTAGAGCTCCTCCCTGGGCTTCTGCGGCGGGGTGGCGGGGGGAGTTGGGGATGACTAATAGTGACTCCCACAGGTCACTGCTAAAGAACAGCTGAAGGTGAATGGAAAACAAGGAATAAATCCTCAAATCAATCCAAAGCGAGCCAAAGGGGCGGGGGGAGTGGTGAACTTAAGCCTTCAGCTACCCGAAGTAGCTGTGCGTTCAGGGCTTGACTTTCCCTCCTTGTGTCGGACAGAGTCCTTGAGAAGAGGCAGAAGCCCGGGGACACCATCGAGCTGACGGAAGATGGAAAGCCCATGGAAATGCCCGAGAAGAAAGCTCCTCTGTGCGACTGTACCTGCTTCGGGCTGCCCCGGAGGTACATCATTGCCATCATGAGCGGACTGGGATTCTGCATTTCCTTCGGAATCCGATGTAACTTGGGAGTGGCCATCGTGGATATGGTCAATAACAGCACCATACACCGAGGAGGAAAAATTATTAAAGAGGTGGGAACTCTTCCCTCGTAAATCCCATGTCCTCCCAGTACAACTCCCAGGTCAAGCACCTTAGCGCAGGCGAGACGGGCTCTGCTGGTTTCGCGGCTTTTCCCCCCCGCTTCAGCCCGCGATGCTCCGCGGCCCCGGGGCGG